CGCGTCTCCTACATTTTGCGGAGGCCGCTTCAATACGGAGAAGAAAGCCAGAACTCTGTATACAGCTGGACCATGTGATCAACCTCGCATTGCCGTGGTAACGATCGATAAACTCATGCCCGCTTACGCCTCCTCGTCACCCTAAGAATTGACTGCTACCCTGTCCCCTGTCCCCTGCCCCAACCCCCTCCCCCCTTTTAACCACGTCATGCAGGCTTTAATGAACTGCTATGCTGTGACAATTACCCCCCCTCCTCTACCCCTCACCATGCGCCCACATCTATGACTAATTATTTATACTCCCTTTACCTATCGTGTTTCACCCTTCGAGACTGACACTTAATTGGACAGTTAATTCTCTTATTAATAGGCAACGACCGTTTGCAGCTGATTGAGAGGTCACGAAATTTCAGGACGTCATTAAATTCTGCCCAACTCGTGATCTTCGCCTTGTTCTAATAAGAGTTCGCATAGAGCCCGCCCCCTCCCGGGAATCTACGTTAAGCATTTAGCTTAATTGGAACAGGCGGCATAACCTACTGACGGCAGGTCCATTCAAGTTGTCTGCATAGACTATGCGCTTCTCTAGATCATGACTACCAGCCTGTCAAGGAGGCCACACAGCACATGACAGGCCGAACGATGCCAGAGCTGAGAGCGGCGGGAGGAGGGGGAGGCGAAGGCAAATTTTCGGCGCTGATCGATACTAGTATCCGCTAAATGGCTGAAGGCGAACGTCCGACGATTCAACCGTTTACCAGACGGGCCACTCGCTAGACACGCTGCACCAACCAGATCAGGGCAGGGGGGTGGTAGCGCGTATGCGCACACGTATCAAAGGCCGCATATGGGAAGGTATGGTAGCACGCCTATGTGCGGGTTCCCACTACGCCAACCACCTGCGTCCAGGTGGGTGGGAAGGGGAAGAGAGAATGCAGTAGACACAGCGCAAGTCTGCTACCACTAAAAACCAAAATAACGGTCATGTCTTCGTCCCTATACCCCATATTTTGTGGGGTAGAAGGCGAACATCGACGGTCGGACATAAGCTTCCTGCCTCTCGGTAACTGAACTTCACTGTAAGCCAAAGGCCCTTATTTGTCTAGATGGCAACTCTAATAGAGGCTAAACTTATAGAATAAATACACTAGTAAGTGTTTAATGTAGTACTACAGGCCATGGAGAAAAATCAGCACCAAAAGACAATGCTTAAAATGTGATGGTGACCTTCAACGTGGACTGGGCAGAAATGATTGAATTTCCAGGGCAAACTGTACGCGCTTTCTGCACTCCTCAGTTTTCCTCACCTGTCGCCGTGTTTCTGATAATGTTTATGAGATCGAAATCGAAACGTCTGTTCTTATTCTAGCCTACTTTGAAATGGTATGTTACGGTAGAGCAACAGAAGCAGTATCCTGCCTGACAAGTGCAATCATGGCTCAGCTGGTTGACAGCTGTCACCGAGAGGCCGATTTAACTACACAGTTCTGGAGAGGGGCATTCCAATCTCTTACGACAGTAGCGGCCATACGGTAAACTTACCCGAGTTTGCGCTCGCCGAATGCGTTTGTACAAGGTTTCAAGCTGACGTGACTAAAGATGAGTTCGACACGCTCGTCTCCACAACTACAGCGCCAAAAATGCAGATGCCTCACTACTTTCTCCCTCCCTGTGCCTCTGATAGAACAAGACTATAGGTAACCCTGATATCCAAAATGTCTCTGCGCCCTCCACCATTTGCACTGCGACTAATGCCCATTTGTTGTTTTCGGTTGCCGTTGCTTTACTCTAAATTACAAATATTACTGTACAGGCCTGCAGATCAGCAATAAAAACAGTGCGTTTTTTGAATCTAAATGATGGAACGTGTCAGATGAGTTTAACGGCAAACTTCATGGACTGCCAAAAGTTACGAGACGGGCCATGACGTTAACATCGTAGCCACGAAGGTCATCAGACAGAACAGAAGTAAGACAAGCCGCGAATTGATTGAAGCCCGCGTCTCCGATAAAAACGCAGTTTATCAAAATATCGATTTGACGTCAGCATAAGGAGCGCCGCGCAGTCATACAGTATGGCCTAGAATTCGTGCAACATACCGACATACGCGAAATATTGATACTCTTTCGCTAATCGGAATTAGGTAAGGTTGTAATGCTGATTATCGTGTGGCCTATTCTGAAGTCATTTCAGTTACGATAGGATGCCGGATTTGTAACGAGCTTCCTTCT